TCATATACTCCATGCCTGTGCTATGTCAACTTATGACATTCCCTATGTTCTTCATTCCCTACATGCCAACCAAGCCCCAATCCCGCAAAGTGACTTAGGTAGCTCCCGATTAGGTAGCTAGATCAGATGGTCAATATGGATGTTGTGTATGGACTTCCAGAAGGTTTTGCAAAAGCTTAAAGACAGAATAAGACTACATGGAATGGGAGGTACCTTTTGGACAGATTATTATTTGGGCAGAAGCTGTAAACTAATGAAAATGGATAATAGGTTGTTCTTATTGATAGGATGTGACAAGTGGTGTTCCCAGACCTCTGTATTGTAGCTTCCGCTTTCTATACATACAGTGTCTTGGATGAAGGAATAGAGTTGCATATCCGAGTTTGCAGGTAGCGCTAAGTTAGGAAGCAGAGTAAACTGAGTGAATGTGAATAGAAAGTTGTATGAATGTTGCACAGAGTGAGCAAAGCTAAAGCACATTGGGATTTGTGATAGAGATATAATTTGATTCACAAATACTTACTGCTACTTATTAAATATTTTGATTTGAGAAACTTATTAGAACACTTCTTAATGGTGAGAAACCTGAAGCTCTGAACGAATAAAGAGATTTAAGTATATCTATGCACAATCAGCACAAAAAACCATTAACAATATGATTGGAATGAAGCCTTTGTTCCAAAATAGAATTCAAATATGAGGAAGTGATGTTTCAATTGTAATGTGCCTTGATGCAACCTTTATCTAGAGTGCTGCATTTAGTTTTGGACACCAAGACTCAGGAAAGCTGCCATGGTCCTGGAAGGGTACAGCAGAGATTCTCCAAACTTAAAAGATTAATTTATGAGGCCACATTGCAGAAATTTAGCTTGTTTTCCCTTGATATGACATTGAGGAGTTATCTATTCAAAATGGTTAAAGTGATAGAGTGATTCAACAGTGTAAATATAAATCAGCTATTTTCTCTTGTAGGATAAAACCAAAACAAGTGGGCGTAACTTTAAAATTAGGGCTAGACCATTTTGGAGGGAAATAAGGAAGCACTTCTTTCACACAAAATGTAGTGAAAATTTGGAACTTGCTTCTCCAGGAATCTTCAGGGTAATGTCCTCGGTATAACTAACTTCACTGCTTCATCAATGACCTTCTCTCCATTGTGAGATCAAACTGGGAGTTCACTGATAATTACACAACATTCAACACCACTTGTGACTCATCAGATACTCAAACAGCCCATGTCCATATGAAGCGAGAGCTGGACAAATTCCAAGCTTGGATTAACATGTGGCAAGTAATATATGTGCCACACAATTGCCAGGCAATGACCGTTCCCAACAATTAGAGAATCTAACCATCGCTCCCTGACATCAAATGACATTACCATCACTGAATCCCCCATTATCAACATCATAAGGTTACCATTGACTTGAAACTGATTGGACCAACCATATAAATATTGTAGCTACTATACCAAGTCAGAATTTAGGAATTCTATGGCAAGTAACTCACCTCTCTCCCAATGCCTTTCTACCATATATGGGTATAAGTCAGGAGTGTGATGTAAAATTCTGCATTTTCCTGGATGGCTTAAGCTGCAACAACAATGAAGAAACTGAACATTATCCAGGACAAAACATCCCACTTGATTGGTACCCAATCTATGACCTTCAATACTCATTCTGTTCAGCGCACAGAGCAGTGTACGCCATCTAAAACACACCCAGCAGTAATAACTCATTAATCCTCCTTCGACAGTATCTTCTCTACCACCTATAAAGGTAATGGCAGCAGATGCATGGGAATGCCACTATCTGCAAGATCCCTTCCAAGCTACACATCATCCTGACTTGAAATGTATTGCTGTTCCTTCACAGCCACCAAGTCAAAAATCCTGGAATTCTGTTTCCAAAAGTACTGCCTTTTGGGTGTCCCTACTCCCCCGAGGATTGCAGCAGTTCAAGGCTGCAGCTCACCAATCTCAATACCTCACACTTGAAATCTTGGTCTTTAGCTTTATATTGCTCTAATACCTTTCAACCAACCTATCCTTGTAATTATTCCCTGCCCTACCTTTTCACAACATCTCATTCTGTTGACTCTGACCTTCTGTATATTTATCTTGCTCTTTCATGCATTATGTTGAAAGCAGAAACTTCAGCTGGGTAAAACCTCCCATTTCCTCTTCTACCTCTCCATCACTTTCACGCGCTTCTAACTTCTCTTCAGAATTCATCCCTTGTAGAAAACTTTTGACCACCCTCCTCATCCCACATTTTTGGGTTTTGCATTTTTTCTCATTGTTGTCTACAAAGCACAATGTGAATACTTTATTGACAAAATGTTGAGAGGTTTAAAATCCCTGTCCTAATTTTGAAGCCATGAAGTTTCAAACCTTTAAAGATTAGAAATAAATTACATTATAAATTATACAATTTACCTGGGCACCTGTTGATGGCACTATTTATTTACTACTTCCTACAGCACCACCATTGGGATATTAATGATAGAACAATTCCATCATAGTTATTTTTATTATGTAGTGGACTATATACTGAAAATCTTTTGTATTATTCAAATGATTAATGACCATTGTGTAGAAGAGCCTTCTTGACTTTTAATATCTATTCGCTGAATAGCCAACTAAACTAATTGGTTCTGCCTTTTATAAATTAGTAATCATATCTTTCATAGTCATTACTTATCTATGTTACTTTCCCTCCTTTGCCTTTTACGAGTACGAGTTCTGTTAAAGGTTCCGTATGGAAATATTAATAGATTTTCTTTTTTAAGACGCTGATGAACTAATTGTGTACATCCAGAATATCTGTTTTTATTTCAGACTTCCAGAATTCAAAGCCTTATATTTTATCTCTGCATTACTGTTATGGACACTGCTCTTCTAAACTGTGACTTGCTGTCATTCCTCAACTTCAGATACATGAACCTACACATTCAACCGGATTAGAACTTCTCCCCTTGATCTTGTGTCACACGTTAACTTTTAATAATCTTCCAAATTTACAATTTATATCATGGTTTCTGCTCTACGTGCTATCCGTGTTTTTCCAGTTGTCTCCTTTCCAGGCTGTAGGTTTCATAACTTTATCTTCAGACACTCAAAAATCAGCATCATAGTCCTTCTCTAATACTTGTTCTTTGTGTCTCAGTAAACAGACCTTGGCAAAGTACTCGAGTAACGAAGTGAACAAAACACTGCACAGTTTAAGCATTATTAACTGCAACTTATTCTTTACTGCTTTATTTATACAGTTCAAAACTCCCTTTGCTTCTCTAAAATGAATAGACATCTTATACTTTGACTGGACTTGGGCTACTAAGGTGGGTGGTTAATGAAGGAAATTTTGCATGACTCTTCTCGTGGAATGGGGTGGGGGAGTGCACGGCATTGAGCCCAGCCAACGAACTCCAGAAGCAAAGTGTATGTGATCACAGGGCAGATAACTGCTGAAGGCTGGTTCAAACATCCTATTTAGTTCTCTGGGAGCTCTAGCTCCAATCCTTCACCGTAAGATCCCCCTCCCACATCCCCTCCATACCTCCATGTGAACCCAATGCCCAACCCACAACCCCAACTACCACCCATACTCTTAGCTCCATGCCACGACCATAGTCATCATCCAGTGTTTACCATGTGCAGACTTCAGGAGCCACGTGAGGACAAATATATAACAATAAACTAACAGTACAGTTACTACTTTAAACACCAGGTTATGAAAAAAAAAACTTTGATTCATGAAACTCATTCAAAGTTTTTGTATATCAAGTGGTTAATAGCTTATAGTCAGAAATCCGGTTTACTACCTATATCAGAGTGAATTTTTTAGTAGTGTCACTAAGCTGTCACTCAAACTGTGAAATCAGAAGCCCTGCTAAGTTGACTGTAGCTTTCAAACTCATTCATAATAATATAATAAATACCCTTGGGGAAACGTTAACAAACAGCTCTACTGAAATTGCATGAACAAATACAACTTTTTTTTAAAAAATTCATTCACAGAACATGGGCATCACTGGCTAAGGCAGCATTTGTTGGCTGTCTCATTTGCTCTTGAGAAGGTAGGGATGAACTGTCTTCTTGAACTGTTGCAGTCTATTTGCTGTAGTCACACCCACAATGCTCTAAGGAGGGAGTTCCAGGATTTTGACCCAGTGACAATGAAAGAATGGCAATATGTTTCCAGGTCAGAATAGTGAGTGGGTTGGAGGGGAACTTACAGATGGAGGGGTTCCCATGTATCTGCTGACCTTGTCCTTCTAGATGCCAATGGTTAAGGATTTGGAGGGTGTTGTTTGAAGAGCCTTGGTGAATTTCTACAGTACACTTTGTAGATGGTACACACTGCTACTGAGCATCGGCGGTAGAGGGAGCAAATGTTTGTGGATGTGGTGCCTGCCCTTACCTAAATCCGCAAATCATAGCAGTCCATCAGAGCTTTTTGAACTCTTTCTGACAACTGCAGATTTTTTTTCTGAAAGTATAAAGAGTCGGAGATTTCAAAAGCATTAAATCGGAGACTTATACAGTTGTGCTTAATCAATCAATTTGTGACTCCCATTCTGCAAAACTGAGGCCCTTGCAACAGCCAAAATGGAATCCATTTCAACTCACAATTAATTTTAAATGAATCGCCAGACTCATGAGTTACACTTTCCAATACTGGTGCCAATAGTTTGGGCCAGAAATGGGATGGAGCTTTCATGTCTGGGTCTCACCAACCATTTCTAAAGTTCGACAAAGTTTTCCTGACAACTAAAATCTAGCCCAATGAGTCTACTATTACTTCCAGATCAACTTTCCTATAAAACTGCATACATGACTATGCAGCAGCCTACAAGGTACCAGGTATACTTTGTTCTGTGTTAAAGTCCACATGTGAGAAGTCACACAAAATAATGAAAGGTATTACAGGGATCAAAATAATTATTTTTCCATTTTTACCTTGATTTCTCAAGGGCTACTTTTTGATTTTTGGAAATTCCCTTGTTTCACTAGCTCCTTCGCTAGGCAATGCGGACACTTAGTAACAATACCTTCTGTATTTGTAATCTGATTCTGCATCTGTGTTTAATTTATGGTGCATCTGAAATTACATAGATGCAGGATTAGAAGAATTCATCAACACCCCCAATAACCATCACTTCTTCATTAAATTTAAAGACACAATGCAAAGGCTAAGCATTAAGTTCCTAGACATGACAATATTTAAATTAGTGCAAGACAACTGGCATATATTAGTAACAAGTGATTTGTTAAAAATATCTGACACACTTCTTTACTCAAAAGTCATCAACTTAAACATGTTTTTCCTAGAGTGGAGAGGTATAGCTATAACGACTGCATGTTTGTCTCTAATACAGCAACCTAGTATGTAAGCATTTCATAGTATGGAAGACACTTTGAGATGTGATAAATCAAATGCAAATGTTTACATGCTGAAATGGCTTAATATTAAGTTATACAATTGACAGTGTTCATTACAATTGCATTTACTTTCACAGAATCATACTGTAAATAACAGGCTTTTTGGCCCATCATGTCTGCATCGAGTAAACTACTCTAAATCGACATTAGCTCCACTTTCCAGCAGTAGGCCCACAGCCTTGAATGTTATGACTTTTCAAGTGCTCATCCAAGTACTTTTCAAAGGTAGTGAGATTTCACCAGATAGGTACCAGCGCATTTCAGATTCCCACCACGCTCTGGATGACATTTTCCTCAAATGTTCTCTAAACCTCCAGCCTTTAACCTTAAAATTATGCTCCCTTGTTACTGACTCTTCAACTAAAGGGAACAGCTGCTTTGCATCCACCCTGTCCATGCCTCTCATAATATTATATACCTCAATCAGATCCTCCTCATCCTTCTCTGGTGCTAAAAAACAACCTGAGTCTATCCAGGAACAAAAACAAAGTTGCTGGAAAAGCTCAGCAGGTCTGGCAGCATCTGTGAAGGAAAAAACAGAGTTAACATTTTGGGTCCAGTGACCTTTCCTCTCTACAGCCTCTCTTCGTAGCTAACGCGCTCCAGCCCAGGCAACATGCTGGTGAATCTCCTGTGTATCTCCTCCAATGCAATCACATCCTTCCTACAGTGTGGTCACCACAACTGCACGCAGTACTCTAACTGTGACAACACTAAAGTTTTGTACAGCTTCAACATAACTTTCCCGTTCTTATAATCTATGTCACAACTCTTAAAAGCAAGTTTCCCGTATGCCTTCTTAACTACCCTAGTTAACTTGTCCTCCCGTCTTCAGGGATCTTTCTCTTTCTCTGAGCTTCTGTCCTGCCATTCACAAGTACTCTCTTGTCATGTTACTTCTTTAAAGGTGCATCACCTCAGGGTTAAGGTCTATCTGCCACTGATCTGCCCATCTGACCAATCTGTTTATATCTTCCTATAACCTAAGACCTTCCTCCTCACTGTCAACCATCTGGCCAATCTTTGTATCATTCACAAACTTACTCATCATGTCTCCCACATTCTCATCTAGATTTTATTTATCCATATATTTATATATATCTACTTTGTTTACCTCCAAGTAGTAGTTCCTGAACCCCATACCTTTAATCAGAAACTCCACATTAATTTGCAAGGAATTAATTACTTCAGTTTTCCTGTTCCCCAGTTAGGTTAGTTTTAAACTACTTTGCTAAGTAGTTTAAAATGTCTTCTCCACCCTCTGCAGACTTTCATTCCTGTTTCAGACTCTTTCCACCATTTGCAATCAAAAACCATCTACCCATTGTGCAAGCACTCATTCCTCTTTGCAGCATTCATTCTCCTTTCCAATCCTTTTGCCTCCTTTGTAGCCCCTTTACCTCAGGTGCAGCCCCTCACCCTGCCCCTTGCAGACCCTCCTTCCACCATGTCCGCTCCTCTTCTGCCTCCTTCCCTCTGCCAGCTCCTCGCTCTCCCCACCCCCAACCCCAACCCCTTACAGCTCCTCTCTGCCCACTCTGCAGCCTCAATTTCCCCCAGCTCCTTGGCTACACTGCCTGGTTCTTGGCCTAACTCCACAGCTTCAGAAAAGGTCAGTGTCGCTCTCAATCCTCCTCCTACCAGCCTCACTTCCAATTCCCACCAATCTTGCTGACTGCTAGCACTCACCTTGTTCCAATTACAACCTGGTTTTCTCGCATTCACTCTAAATCTATCAGCAGCAAACATGGGAGAGAACCAATCCATCATTGATGAAGCAGCTCCTTCCCCTTCCACTCTACTGAAGGGAGGGACATTTCTCTGATTGCTTGCCCCTGAGAATTACTTTTCTCAGGTGATTTGTGAACTTCCAGGAGTGGATTCACCTGCTGCCCACATGTATTTTCAGCACTGCCATGCAATAAACAAATTGGCTATACACAGAAGTAAACTTTTAAAGGGAACATTGTTCTGATCAATTTCAGCTTGCTCATCCATTCATGATGTACTTGTAAGGAGTAATTTAGCAAGCAAAGCTCCACCTCACATTCTTGGTTTACAGTTTAGCACCTGCAAGAACCTAATCACAACTCTGAAGGACAAGACGTTGGTGAATCTTATTCAATATTCATGGGAAAAGTATTATCTTAATTATTGAAGCAATGAAGAGAGAGATGTATAAGGGGAAACAAAGTTAATGTTACTTATATTTCCTTTCTCATGAGATTTTAGCTCAGGCTAATCCTCAAAAATGTATGTCCTAGTTACCTAAGAGTCCAAAACACAAATAATTTCTGAAAGTTCAAATGTTTCACAAATACGCATTCACAGTTTGCAGCATTTAGAGGACTTGCAAAGAAGATTAAATTCCATACCTAAAGAGAGAATCTCGCCATTGGACAGCAGCAATTTAAATAAATCTGTTATGTAGTTAACAATTGTGAATCTCCACCCCACCACTGATGTCTTGCATATTGCCAGTTCATTTGGAAGAAAGTCTGGATCTGTCGGAGGACAACTGGGGCACATATTTCTTGCTGCATTTATCTTTTATTTTTTATCTTCTACTGTAAGTTACAACATTGGGAGGGCTAGCTTAAAGGCATTATTAAGTATCACAATATGAAATAGAAGAATTAGCATTAGACCAACAATACTGAACAACAATTTTACATTCTAATTCTGTTCCCTTGCACTATTCAACTCAAATACCCTCACAGACGAGATCTCCCAATGACATCACTACAGATCTGTGCATCAACCAGATCGACAGAATAAAGTATGCTAGATTTGAAATATGTAACTGTTATCTCAAGAATAAACTAATGTGAAGTGAAATAACTCCACGGAGGCCAGTATCCCGTCACTCTTTATTTATAAGTGCACAGAACATGGACTCTGACTAGCTAGCTCACAGCCAGTCCCTACAGCGAGGAGAATCTCTGAGACTCCTGTTTATTATCAGGCAGTCAGGGCTCCCTGATTGGCCCAGGTTAACAGCCTCAATCAGGGAACTCATACTCAGTGAAATCCACCTGGCCAACCTCATTCCATTCACTACATCCCAAACCCCCAAGCCCGGGGACGCAGGTCTGTTCTTTTTCTTGTAGCTTCTCCTGACACGTTTTCACCTCAGGTCCAGTTCCTCCCGCTGACTTGGACACAAGTAACATCTACCAGAACATAGCCTGTTTCTTGCACCCGGAGCATCTTGGAAGAAATTCCTCCTCTTCCTCAGGTGGTAGCCATATCGAGGCTGTGATCTCAGCTGCATCCATCTCAGATTGAGGTTTCTTCATGCTTAGACGAAAGGGGAGAACCCACAGTTTCTGACAGCCTTTCTAAGCTATCCTGAGGGGCTGAGTGTGTTTTGCTTCTGCCCCGTTTGTGAGGTAGCAGCTTTCATGTGATCCACATGTTTGTTCAGGACCGCCCTAGTTACCTGAACTTTGTATGTCACGGGACCTGACCTCACATAGACCTTGCCTTGTACCCATGCAGGGCCATTTCTGTGGTTTCAACACCAAACGTTATCCCCTGAAATAAACTGTCTCTCTTGCTTAGTGGAGGCATATGGCTGGCATTGGTGTCCCTGATGCCATTTCACCCCTCAGTTTTAACCTGGTGTGGAGTCTTCTCTCCATCAGCAACTCTGCTGGAGCTATCCCTGTAGTTGCGTGAGGGGTGGTTCTATAATCAAATAAGAACTGGGACAATGGTTTCGAGTGAAGCTGTAGGCTGTTTCTTTAAGCCTGCCTTCAATGTTTGGACTGCTATTTCCACCAGGCTGCTGGATGATAGATGGTATGGACGAGTCCAAACATGCTGAATGCCATTCGAGCTTAGGAAATACGTGAAATCCCTGCTGGTAAATGATGTCTCATTGTCTACGACCAATACTTCTGGGAGTCCTAATACTTGCAGTTTTCGAGCATCCCCAAGTTTGACAAATGAACTCTATGCACGACCAACCACTTTAAATGGGCATCCAAAATGACCAAGAATATTGAGCCGAGGAAAACACTGGCATGGTCGACATGTAACTGAGTCCAGGGCGTACCCAGCCATTCCCACGTGTATGGGGGAGCTGCTGGCGGTAATTTGATTTCCTGTTGGCAATCTGGGCACTGCCCCACCAACACGACTATTTCAGCATCCAATCCTAGCCACCGGACATAACATCTTCACTTTGGAAACCCCTGGTGGAGTTCAGCCAGTATCTGGCAGCAACCTTTACTTGGGACAATCACTCTTGCTCCCCATAATAAAACGCTGTCCTCTACCGTGATCTGGTCTCTCCGGGCCCAGAAAGGTTTCAATTCTGGTTGTGATGGCCGTCCAGAGGGTGTTCCAACGTATAACTGTACACACTGAGAATAAGGACCCACCGCTGAATTTGACCGGAAACTTTAGGCAGCACAGCCTTGTCTTCTTTAAGTAGCCCTAGCAGGAGTTTGTGGTCTATTACTGTCACAAATTTGCATCCGTAAAGTTATTGGTAGAACCTTCTCACATCAAAGATAACGGCCAAAACTTCCTTCTTTGTATGGGCACATCACAAAGCTTACGCTATAAGAACATAAGAACTAGGAGCAGGAGTAGGCTGTCTGGCCCTTCGAGCCTGCTCCTCCATTCAATAAGATCATGGCTGATCTTTTC